GAGGCTCCAAGCTGAGAACCAGGACAGTGACACTGCTGCAGAGGGAGCAAGGCAGGCATAGAAACCAGAACCACTGGGTGCCTGGAGGGAGAGAATCAGGGGAGCAGGCGCCAGGGGTGCAGGGTGCCTGGGTGCCATCATAAATACAGCAGGAGACCCTGGGTGCAGCTAACAGAGGCTGACCTGTCCCCAGCAAGTCAGTGTGGCACCCATGGCCCCACTCTGCAAATATCAGGTCATTCGACCTTCCCAGCCACCCTGTGGAGTGGGAGCAAAGGAGCAGGTGAGGAATGTGACCAAAGGTAGCCCGTGATGGAGCAGAACTCAAGCTGGGCGGCCTGGCTGCAGGCGGAGGCACGGAGCTGAGCAGGGAGGATGGTGGGAAGTCTGGACATGACTCCAGGAGTGGTTCAGTCACCAGAGGGGACTGGGCCTTCTCACTTGTTCCCTTAGATCTGGGCTGAGAGAGGGCACAACTTCTAAGTAAAACACACCAGGCCCAGGCTGGGCTGGCAAGCTGGGCCTCACAGATGCCTGATCCAGCCCGCCCAGGCAGGGGTGCTCCGGCCCTGCAGGATGCCTTCTCCTCTGGAGATCAAGGTTCTCAAAGTGGGCTCTGGACCAGCTGCAGCAGCAGATCACACGGAATCTTGTTAGAAATGAAAATTCCGGGGCCCCACCTCAGACCTCCTGAATCTGAGAGAACCAGCAACCTGGGGATTTGGGTGGTGGTGCTTGTTCCTTTTTCTCTTGTGATGCCGAGTACCATACTGGGAACTTGTAAGTCAGTGTGAGTCCAGCGCTCTGCCCCGAGCTGCACTGCAGACCCCCAGTGGGGTCTGAAAAAGCCCTCCAGGGAGTGGACACACTAGCAGGCTGGAAACCAGTGTGGGGCTCATCTCCTACAACACCGCATGGCCGACTCTGGCTGCTCTGCACACCAGGCCATCCTCCCTGGACCCGGGGCTCCCAATGCCTGATGCCTAGGACCCTTACCACTGCCCCAACTCATTGAATTTCCTGGTCATACTTATGATTCAACTGCTAGGCCTCTTCAGCCCCATGGAAGAATTCCTCTTCCTTCCTATGTTGGAGTTTCATTTCATGGTCAGCCTTGTAACCTCAAGGTAGATACAAAGGGTACTAGACTTTTTTCCAACACCTCTCAGTCACCAGATTTCCTTCTTCATTTATTCATCCCACTTTCTTCCATATATTCCAACAAAAATATATGCACTCATCCCTGTCCTCAGGAAATGGTCCCATCAGTGGGAGATAGCAAGATGCAAATATATAATTTCCATGATACACCAGCAAGGCCTGAAGTCCTCAGGCTGAGACAGGGGTGAAGATGGACATGTGCAGGCCTGAGGGGAGTTCACCTTGGCCAACATGTGAGTGCAGAATCTCTGCAGGTTCCACTCTCAGTTCTCAGGCTAGGGTGGCTCAGCGGTAGACCACCTGCCTAGCATGCGGGAGGCCATGGGACCAGCCCACAACATCATGAAAAAGAAGAAAAGGAAGAGGAGATCAGGAGCACATGAGAGGGAGAGCCTGGTTCAGCCCAGGCAGAATGGCTGAAGAACCAGCCTCCCTGACCCAGGCAGAGGCAGCAGAGCAGGGTGGGGCCTAGGAGGTAGATAGGAGTCCAGGAGGAGGACAGACCAGCATATGCAAGGGCCCAGGACAGAGAAAAGTGGGCCTGAGGCCTGAAAGGGAGTCAGGCATGTGGGTAAAACTGGGGAGGATTGAGAGACAGAAGAAAATGACGGACACATGATGCTGACATGCGGATATGACATGAGGGGAAAGGAGAAATCAAGAACGACTCTCACTTTCTTGATTCCCTGTGTTAGATAAAGACTCAGACCATTCTGTTTCCACAGGGCAAAGAATCACACAATACCCACCAAGTCCTGAGGGAACACAATCAGAGGGCCAGCAGGGAGGGTGAACTTCCAGCTCTTCCCCAGAAGCTTCTCTACAGGGGATCCTCATTGAAAGATCCTGCCCAGTCCCCTGGGAGCCACTTCCACAACACTCTTGCCACTCTGAACAATGACAATTATGACAAACAGCTACAAATGGACAGCTTCTACTAGGAGGAGTTTCTCACACAAATGTAAGAAAAAATATTCACAACTGTTCACAGGTTTCTAAAGAGCACAATTAAACTAATTTATAAATGGGAAGTTATGTAACTACCCCAACCACAAAGATGCTAACCCAGAATTCAAATCCATGGCTGCCCAACTGGGAAGCCCACACTTCCTCCTTTAAATCCACATTCCCACCATGTGGGAAATATCGTCTCTGATGGATGGCAGTGCAGTTTTAGATGCAAAAATGAACTTTCCAAAGTGTTAACAGGTTCTGATTTGAACCCTGAATAATTAACTATTTTATGTGTGTAACAGAAATAAATAAAAAACATGTATATGTGATTGATACAAATTTTACATATACACAGTGCAACAAATTCAGGAAGTCGTACTATTAACTGCCTAGCCCAAAAAAATTTCTTAAAATGCTTAGGGCCGGGAACAGTGGCACATGCCAGTAGTCCCAGCAATTTGGGAGGCTGAGGCTGGAGGATCGAAAGTTCAAGGGCAGCCTTGGGAACTTAGACTCTGACTCCAAAAAACTTAAAATAAAATGTGCTGGGGATGTGCCTTAGTGGTTAAGCACCCCTGGGTTCAACCCCCAGTACAAAAAAAAAAAAAAAAGTTAATGTAAAGGAAACATTTGAATAACTATACAGGTGATGCAAGGATAGGGTAGAAACCTTGAGAGGGCAATATGAACAGTTGAAGCCTAGGATACTGCTCACCAGCCACCCAAGAACAGCCAAGCACCTGTCCAATATTGTACCCAAATATGATGCCACACAAAACTCTGCTCAAGATAAAATATTTGTTGTCTTGGGGGAAGAAAGTAACATCAGGACAGGATTTACATAAATCCTCCCTAAGGCAGTACTGTTTCTGACATAAATATGGGATTGGCCATCCATCTCAGCTTATTCTCCACTCCCCTAGCTTAAAGCAGTTAAGTTTCACGGGTTAAAAGGGAAGTATTAGAAGTAGCCTTTGGCCAGGTTAAGTGGCTCATGCCTGTAATCCCATCAGCAAGGGAGGCTGAGGCAAGGGGATCTCTTGAGTTCAAAGCCAGCCTCGGCAAAAGTAAGGCACTAAGCAACTCAGTGAGACCCTGTCTCTAAATAAAATACAAAATAGCCCTGGAGATGTGGCTCAGTGATCGAGTGCCCAAAGGTAGACTTTAACATCACTTTCAGTTTTAGGATTCCACAAAATAACCCCTGAAATTCAAAATTATTCTTTCCAGAATCACAGAGGCCCCAATCCTGAAATGAGTGTTGTCCTGAAAAATAAATGCTAAATAAGCCCAGAGAACAACCTAGGCTGCCATCCCATTACTGAGGCACTGCCACCTGTCATACTGCCCTCTGCAAAGATGTGGCAAGACATTACAAAAAGATCGACCAATAAATGCTGTTGTCTCCACCAAAACTTTTAAGAGTTTCCTGCCAGTGATTTTAAGTTAACTTTCTTTACACGCGGTCCTTCATCATATTCTCGATTCTTTCAGTCCCTTAATTAAGTTCCTTCTGAGTCAAGGTTACAGGGTGAGGTTATGGGAGGGGAAGAAACCTGCAAATCTCATCAAACTCTCATTTTCTTGTTAAGCCTCTGCTGGGAACCACCTGTGAGACCTTCCCAGCTCCATGTGAACGACTCCACTGACGCCCAAATTTAATGTACTAAGGAGCAACAACTCTTTTCTTGGTTGATTTCTCAGACACATTACTACTAGCACAGTTTTGCCAGAGCTAGCACTCACCCTCCCTCTATTATTAATGAAATACGCACCTTTATCAAAAAACAAGTCTCAAAACCCCTCCTTGCCTTATTTACAGAGCCTTTGCTGTGAAATCAGGGGGCCTATAAACTTGTAATAGAGGGCTTTTAGATTCACAGAAAGATAAGTTCTGATACTGGTCACCTGTGTTTAGATGCACAAAACAGAAGATGGGTGGGCTGGCTGGCAAACTCTGAAAGCACAGCTGGGTAGCAGGTGATCCAAAAAAAAGAAGAAAAAGGGGGGGGGGGGGGGGGGGGCAAGTCCCTGGGCAAATTGTGTAGCCAAGGGTGATCATTACTCTAACTGGAGAGTTGTTACATAATTATTTGTTAACTCCTGACAAACACACACATAGCTACAAAATGCCATGGTTACCCCACTCATTGAAACTAGTGCACCTGGTGGAAGAGTCAAGGTTTCTCCAATTAATTTCATTCAAAGAAATAAGCAATCCTGGGACCTATTCCCTTCCAAGGTAACTAGTCTGCTTTTACATACACAAAACAGCCTCCAGCAATTAAGCCAATAGCCTGTAGGGACAAAAATCAGTTTCTCCTTAATACTGATTTTTAAAGGGGAGAAGGGATACACAGGTATGTTCATAGAACTAAATATATATATCACCTCGATAAAAAACGACTTGCTTTCTAAACTGGAAAATTTGAAAAGGGTCCCTCCCCCATCCGTCCCTGCTCCGCTGGCGCAAAACGCAAGACCTTAGTGTCGGATGCACTGCATTCCAACATTTTTCAAAAAGTTTACCAGGATTTACCAAAGCGGCGGAGAGAAAAATAAACCAGGCAGAAGCGGAGGAAAGAGAGCAGGAAGGTTTCGACAGGAAAGAAGCCGGTGAAGCGCCTGGCAGCGCAGTGCCAGGCCCGATAACCGGGAGGCGACCCGGTACCCGGAGAGCGAGCGCCCCAGTGGAGCGCGGGGAATGACAGCCGCCCGGTCTTGGTCGCCTGGGGTCCCCAAGCCCACCAGCCCGGCCCCCGCCTCCAATCCCCCTCTCCGACCCTTCCCCCGCAGCGCCGGCGTTGCCCGCTGGGCCAACTTGGCCCCGGGTCAGCGCTGCAGAGCGCGGCCCCAGCAGCTGCGGAGGCCGCCGGCGCCCTTACCTCCTTCTGCTTGGGGTCCTGCGGGTAGACATCGGGCGGCCCGAGCCGGGGGCGCTTCAGCGGTCTCTGCTCATAGCTGAGAAGCCCGAAGGCGGCCATGATCTCTCATGTTAACCGGCGAAATGAATGAGAGTTGGAGCTGGAGCAGCCGCCTCTGAGCACCAGGGAGCAGCACTTTGCAGACAGACTCCCTCTCCCCTCCTCGCTCGCCCGCTCGCTCGCCGTGGCGCTGCAGGCAGGAATAAAGCAGGTTGGATGCTGCCGCTGCCCGGCACGCAGACACGCACTGATGGGGGCAGCCTTCGGCCGGCACCCGGCTGCGCTCGAGCCACGGGACGCACCGCTCGGGCGGCGGCGGGGCTGGAGGTCGGCCAGGGTCCTCCGCGGCGTCTGCCTCCCGTCACCCCCCACCCTGTCCCCAGGGGGAGGAGCAGCTGATGAGAACGTGTGACTTTTTTCACCAATGGACCCAAACCCACCCCATCAGAGCGCAGGATGGAGGTGGGGGAGGGGCACGGGAGGGGAAAAAAAACTTTTCTTGGCGCCTAGGCGGGTGGCTCAAGTGCTTGCCCAGGGCGAGGGTGGCCCTCCTCCCCCGGGAGAGGCTGCTGATCGGCTCGCCCCCGCCCCTCCTCCTCCTCGTCAGGGACCCTTCCCTGCCGCCACGCGCCCCGCAGACCCCGCCACCTGGGCGCAGACCCCGCGGCACGGAAGGGAGGGCGGCTGGGGGTGGGGGAGGCAGAGATGCGGGCGGGAGGAAGCGGCCAGTGCCTCCTAGACGCCCGCCAGGCTCCGGTGGCGCATCCGCGGTTTGGGTCCCCTCGGCGACTCCCGGCAGGCGCCAAGAAGCACAGCCGGCGGTCGCGGCTGCCGCGGCGGCTGGAGGGGGCCGTGCTCACGGTGGCGCGGGGCCGACTTAACCCTTTGCTGCCCCTCCAGTGGCTGGGGAAGCGGGCCGAGGGGGATGGCTGGGAGCGCCGACGGGGACAGCCAGCCCGCAGGCGTCGCGGGTTGGACCGGGCTGATCCAGCCCGCGCCCTCCCCGGCCGCTGCGCCTCCCCGCCCCCACCCCCAACAGTTTACCTGTTGGTCCCCAGCTAGCGGGCAGGGGCCGCCGCCGGCGGGGGCACTCCAGCGGCCGCAGCCTCCATGGTTCGGGGTGGGAAGGGGAAATTGGATTTTATTTTATTGGTGAGATCTGTCTCGCTCGGACCAGCTCCGGGGACGCCGCGAAGTTTGCCACCGATGGGGGCGGCGAGCGACGCCGGCTCGCCGCCGGCGTTCTCGCCCCCACGGCCCGGGAGCGCGAGCTTCCGAGTTGGCGGACGGCGGCGCGGCGGCCGCACTGAGCATGCCCAGCTCGGCGGCCGGACCGCGGAGGAGTTGGCTGCGAGCGCGGCGGGCGCTCCGATCCGCCTCTCCGGGTTTTCGCAGCCGCAGAGCGCGCAGCCCGCGGGCCCTGGCGCCCGAGCTGGCCGTGGTGTGAACCTGGGTGAGGGAGGAGGCGCCCTGGGGACCCCCTCCAGGCCTCAGGCTGCGCCCTCCGCTCCGACCTCTCTTGAGGTCGCTGTCACCGTGGCCTGGACCGGAAACCTCACCTGCGCCGAGCGCGCGGATGGAGTGGGAGGCGGCGATCCTCTAGGGGAGATGGTCATCCAGCCCGCCCGCGCTCCTCGCTTGCTTCGGGGCGTGGGCACCGAGATGCTGGGCCACCTGCCGCGAGCACTGCGAGACCAGAGCCTCCGAGGCGGGCCCGGCCTGTCCTCAGGGACCCCCCGGGAGGATGCGCCCGCACTCGGCCAGGAATGATGGCTGCCATTTATGGGGCCTTCGCCTGGTGTCAGGATCTTGACAGTCGGAATCTGCTTCTTACGTAGGCTTTACAGGACCCTCTTAATGCAGGGAGAAATCGAGTCAACTCGGGAGGTTCAGTGACTAGTTCAGAGCCCTAAAGCTAGCCTGATCTCAAGTTTCTGACCTATCCACCTCTACTTGGAGTTGGAAGCACTGGCTGTCCGACCTGCCCCGGCCTAATGGTGTCAAGGTCCCCACAGCTTTAGGTATTTCCTGGACTCCTGGTTCCCAGTTTTTCAGAGGATGCATGCAGAATCTAACCTGAAGCCTGGTACACAGGTGCTCAGGAGACCGTGGTTGCATCTGCTGACTAAGTTCAGAGGAGGGAAGGAGGAGGTAGATAAGGGGATACCTGCAAACGGGGTATGAGGGGAGGCAGCGAGGTAGTTTGGGGCTTCCTAACCCTAACTTCTAGAAAACAGTTACCGACCCACCGCCTGCAGGCACTTCCCATTGGACTTTCCCACCCTGTCTCGGGGACTTTAATACTAGAGGAGTAACTTGATGATACCAGCTGTTGTAATACAGGCATCTAATCTAGCTCTCTTGTTTAAGAGATAGGACAGTCAGTCTTATTAGTATCTGACTTAGTTAGGAAAATTATCAAGCATACCAAAGGGTAAGGAAATTATGTAATTGTTGCCAAAACCTTGGTCCTTGTCCCTGATGCCAATCCAATAATGAGAACGTGGATTTGAGAAAAAAGGAAGAAGATGGTTTATTGTTTTGCTAGCAAAGGAGAAACACAGGGGACTCCTGTCCCAAAGGCTGTGATTCTGCCCATCTGCTCAAACAGGGGGCTTTTATAGAGGTGATTCAGAGAAAATGAGATTAGGTAGAGGTCAGGCAGAAGTTTAGGAAAAAGAAGATTGGGAAAGAAAAAAAAAACATAAGTTTCAAAACTACAAGGGATATAGTCAAACCATCAAGTGAAGCCCTGTTACATAATCAACCCTCAGGTCCTCATCTCCCACCTACAATGCTCTACCATTTTTATTCCACCTATTTCCCCGCCCCCAATACCTGATAGATACTCCTATTGGGACAGTTTGAATTCATCATTGCAATGCAGATTCACAACATGGGACCTGGCACATGCTGGGCATTCCAAAAAACCTTGGTAAGAAGGGGAGTGCATTTATGATCTCAACATTAGTGGTACTCCAGGGATACCATGTGGTGCTACTCAATCAAAACCCTCCAGTTGTGGGAAATGAACCCTGAATTCTCCCTTTATGACATAGAGAGGCAAGTGTCTTCACTGCAGCACTTTGAAGCACTTAAAATCATACCTACCCATAAGGATTTTTTTTTTTTTTTTTTTTTTGCATGCTAGTGGTTGAACCCAAGAGTGCTCTACCTCTGAGCTACATTCCCAACCTTGTTTTCACTTTTTGAGACAGGATCTCCATAAATTGCCAAGACTGGTCTTGGATTCTCCTTCCTCAGCTTCAGGAGTTCCTGGATGCTGCCCACACCCAGCACGGGCAACTGAACCAAAGTCACTCGTGTGAATTTGGGGTGACACAAAATATCACGCACACAGACATGGAATATCTTATTATAAGCTTCAGGACATCTTCCCTGGTTCCCAGCCTCAGCTCCCACAAGGGGGGGCAAGAGAAAGTCATGAGAGAGGGAGCATGAGTTCTGGAGTTTGCTTTTATTGGGGGACTCTGTTTCTTAGAACAGTGTACCCAAAAAAGGGGCAAGGGGTAGGATTACAAAAGAACAGGTGAGTGTAACTCAACCCCACCAGGTAACACCTACTCCTGGAGCCACGCCTCATTATCATAGCGGAGGTAAAGCCCAGGTTATTGCAGGGCGCAGTAATTGTTCAGTATCTCTTGCTCAGGACTTAAGGGCATGTATTTCAGAGCGGCTCCCAACACCTGGTACAAGTGTGTACCACCTTGCCCAGCTTCTACCCATAGGGATTTTTCTCTTAACATCAAAATGTGTCAGTAGTATGCCCTGGTGTTGGAAAGAAGGGTAAGGAATTGTCTTCACCCTTCTACATTTTAAACTCCCTCACCCCATTTAAAACAGTCTGACATGAATTCTTTGGCTCTTTCAACACAAAAATAAATAAATAAAACAAAACAGTGATTAATATGCTGAGAAACTTCCCCCCAAGTCATTCTTTGACTATGTGAACCACCCATGAGCATTGGAGTCCCTGATCTGGCACTTGAGATCCAATTCACCCCACTACCAGCCCGACTCTTCCCCTCACTCCCAATCCTTGTTAGCCCACTCCTTTCCAAGTGTGGAATTCCCAGTCCTTCCCTTCAGGATCCCCCTGTTGATAGCCCTTAGAGTCTGGATTCTTATAAGAAGCTGGCTCTCAACTGCTCAGGTTCAACGTGATCCTTTGGCTCTTTCAGAATGCCCATAGCACTTAATTCTTCTTTGATTACCTCATCATTTATTGGCATGCATTCAAATACATCACACAGGATGGTCTTGTTCCTCCATGCCTACTTTACTGTCATACACTCCAAAATTAGTCTGCAAGCTAACACAGGCCAACTTAGCATGGTGGACTTAACCTAGAAGTCACTGTGTTGGGCTGTGCTTGATTTTCCCACATGGCGCTAGCTAATGCAGCAGATAGGCAAAAACTGTCCTTGAATAATGTGGGTCCCGTTTGGTAAAACCTAACCCTCAGTCTGGCAAAAAATATGAATTCTGGGACATTGAATTGTGAGGATGAAATGTGGTTGGAGAAAGATGAATTATAAACCATTGTAAGCACATGGGGCTCTATCTCCAGGTTTCATGATAGCTCTCCAGGGTAGCTCTTGGAGGCTGACAGGTTTTAAAAGCTGACCTCTTTCCTGGGTCATTCCATGGGCTCCTCAAAGATCCCTCAGCACCTGAAAACCCCCCAACTGTTTCTGTTTCCTCCACAAGCCTTGGTTTCCAGCATTCTGCAAGGAGTGTCCCACAGTTGGGATCAGTCTTGTACTCTCCAGTAAAGTCCCCTTCAGTTAGCTCATTAATCTGCACACATCCAGCAGACATCTCTCAACAAGCCTTCTCTCCTTGCCAACTGTGGCCATGTTCTGCAAGCCACAGCTCACCCTGGAAGTCCTCCAATCTGGGTCAGACATTTGTAGCTCAGGTACACATATTGCAGAGGACAAAGTTCGAATGCCTAGCTTAGTGGTCCCCTGAAAGTTCTTTTTGTGAAGCCTGAGGTGAAGAAGAGCATTTCTTTGGCAAAAGGCACAAACAAAATCATATTTGCAGAGGAGATTTCAAATATGAGAATGGAAAAATGCCAAGAACGGAGGCAGACTGTAAGCCATCAGGATCTGTCATCCTATTATTCCCATTTTACAGATTAGCAGGTGGACCACCAGAGGTGAAGCTGCTGACCCAAGGCCATTGAGTCAGCAAGCAACAAAGCCGGGTCAAACCTAGCTCACTCAGCTCCCCAACCCATGCTGATTATGGTCAATGTGCTACATGTATTAATTATCATTTACACAACACATACAAAGGTGAGCCTCAGAAGACAGTTCTGGTGTAAGAGAAGTAGAATTCCTGACAGCTCACTCTGCAGAGCTGTGTGCTTCCACTCAAGTGGAAAGAAACAATTCTCAGTGTATTACTTGTAGGTGAAGTAATTAAAGTTGCCGGGTTTTCTCACGGGATGGATGCTTGTCCAGGTGTATATATTACTGTTTTGCTAACAGATTGTCTGCAGGCAGTCTTGCTTAATTTCAGTTTTTCTTATATCCCTATTACATTTAAATGTATTTGTGTTATGCCTACTTCTGAATCAAAGAAGAAAATCTCTATTTTAGCCTCTTAAAGAAAAGGAAAAATGAAAATGACTTGGAAGGTGGGTATTAATTGTGGAATATTTCATCCAAATTGAGTTTTTAATAGCATCTTCATGCTTGTACAGGTGAAAGAACGTAGGCATTGGGAGTCTCAAGTAGCACTGACCAGTAAATTATTGCCAACCAAATATGCACTTTATAATTTTCTGGTAGCCACATTTTAAAAAGTAAAAAGAAATGGAAGAAAATAATTTAACAATATATTGCTTAACCCAATATAACAGAAATATAATCATTTCAACATGTGATCAGTATTAAAAAAAAAAAAAGGTATCAATGAGACATTTTCCATTCTCGTTTTAGAATAACTCTTCCAAATCTGGTACATTTGATATAGCATCTCGCATTTCAGACCAGTCACATTTCATGTGTTCAATGGTCCCATGTGGCTAGTGGCTACCAAATTGGCCAGCCCAACTCTCTAAAAGCATATTTCAGACCTAGGACTTTGTGATATATAGTATCTTAATAAGATTACCAAGGAAGCAGCCAGGTTTCCATATGAAGAAACAAAAGCAATAAAAGGAATAAAACAATAGAGAGTTTGAGAGATAC